CGGGGGGAGGGCGAGCGTTGTGTGTTCAGATGATGGACAAAGAACACTCGGATGACAAAAATGAAGCTCTCTCATCCCCGGTGTTTACTGGGCAAATTGATGATCAATTACAGATCGCCCTAATGGTTCACCAATTTCAAGGTGCAATCAGCTGATCACGAGTATGAGACAGTGAGTGGATGCAACAACCGAGCCAATCACCAGTGAGCGAGCGAGCGAGCAAGCAAGCAAGAGAAAGTCAGAAATAAAAGCCGGTTTCTTTCTTTTTCATGTGGTTAGATGAGAAACAGAGATGGGTGGATGAATGAACCGACAAATGAAAGACAAAAAAAAGAAACTGAATTACATAACCAACTGTGCACGTTCGAGTCCACACCGAATTGTGATACAGATCTCAGCAAGCTGAGCAGATCACAATTTGGTCTCGGAAAGCGGTCGAACGAGCGGATAAAAGTACACATGGGTGCTATACACGGAGTGAGGGAGCACTCATGCTTACGCATGTACTAATTAAGCAATTAATGTGTGGGTGTGTGTGAGTCATATGGAAGAGAAGAAACAGGGAGAGACAAGAAAGTAATGCAATAGCGATGAAACACACACACAGAGTGAGATGGAACGAATGATAAGGGATGAATTTATTTCTGGTTTTTGTATACTGTTTCAGTCACAAGAACTGGACACAGTAAATGTGACGAATAAAGAAAGAGTCGCAAATGAGAACAGAAAACAAAGTGGTGTTTGCAAAAAGCACGTGGATACAAGCAAAATGTTTGTGTGTGTGTATGTGGGTGCGGGTGTATAAGACGACATACAGTACGCTGAAAACAAACGTACCCGACTATTTTTTTTCGACGAGGCATATAGGAATTTTGCAACTGTGATGTCATAGCCTGTCGCTCTCTCTCTCTCTCTCTCTGTGTCCTAGCTGTATTCTGTTATTGCTTGATCGATGACATTGACTATGACTGAGTTTTCCTTTTCTTATGTTTCCGTCGTTTGTTTTTACTCTTCAAAGTCCCCGTCTCATGAGCCGCCGGTGCATCAGGCGCGGTTTGTGGCACTTCTGGAGAATCTCGTTTGTCTGCGCCCCCATCCATCGATTTTTCTATATCTGCTGGAGGTTTGGGTGATTCTCTGGGTTTCGATTTCGCTTCATCCGGGACGGAAGGGGTTACGAAATCCCCGCCCAACTGTTGCATTTGTTTTCCGAGAACCGGTGTAGGAGATTTGCGTTGATCGATTTGCGGTTGCACGTCCATATCGAAATGTATGTCTGCGTCGGATTGGGATTGGTCCGGTACGTGAGTCACATTAGCATTTGGAATAGTTGGTTCCGGTTGATCGGGTTCGTGGTCAACTGGATCCCATAAAGTTTCCGGTGCCGGCTCTGTGTGTACAATGGTCGTGGTATTCTCCGTACTGGGTTCCCATAAATCGTCTGGCATGGGATCTTCAAACCCACCAAACAGAGGATCGTCAAAATCATAGTTCACAACTTTCGATTCGGTTTCCATCGGTGCAGGGCCCGGAGTGGTTGTTTTCTGGGGGGTTCCCGAGCGTTCGGCTAGGTCAATTGGAGCGGATTCCTGTGGAATCTCGGCTGGTGTATNCTGGTGTATTGATCGGTGCTGCTTGTGTAACGAGTTCATTGTTGGAGATATGTGCTTCTTTCACTGTTGAAGTGTCTTTTGACTGTTTCACTGCAGGCCAACCAGATCCGATGAATAGACCATGATTTCTGTCCAACTCAGATTCATTTGTGTGAGGCATGTCCGGTTGAACTTTTTCTGTAATTGCGGACAAGTCAACCGGTGGATGCGAGCTCGGTTCATACGGAGTCGACGGGATATTGGGTAAGCGAGATTGCTGGTCCAACTGAACCTGCCACATCTCTGGCTCGCATGTTTTCTCGTACACTTCAGCCATCGTGGCTTCCCATCCGGCCGAAGGGATTGAAGTGGCCTGTCCGGATTGTGCGTACTGCGCTTTGTCATGCAATTCGTGTGTTTTCTTTCCGGGCCAGCCGGTTCCCACAAACAAACCGTGGTCACTGAGCCCACGGTCTGGTGGGTTGGTTACCAACGGAGCCGTGGCTACTGGTGCATTCGAATCGGCCGCAATCAGTCCTGGTTCGGTTTCGTCCGGGACTTCCGGACTGGCTCCGGTCACAGGTGACAATTGACCGAATGTGGAAGATTTGTTTACCACATTGTCTTCTTGATCAGCCTCATATCCGGAATAACTGTTACGCGATTCTTCCATATCCAGGGGACTTGTGATTGATGCAGCCTGTTCTGCGCTCACATTTCGCGCTTGTTCTGCCTGTTTTTCACGTGTCTCTTCTTCCTGATAATGTTTCCTGATTGCTTTGGCACAATCTGCCCAACTACTTGGCAATTTGATTCCCGCTACATTCGCATTGCCCGCCGCGGTCTTTGTGTTCCTTTTGCTCTCATTTCCGGGCCCAACATTAGTATTAGTAGTGGTATTAATGGGCTCAGAATGATTGGCTGGCGAGGAATCGGGTTTGTCGGATTTTCGTGAGTGACTGTGTTTGTGACTTCGTTTCCCGCCAGATTTGACGTCTTTCTGTTCGGCCACCATCTGATGAATTTCTCTCGTTGATTGTTTCGGGATGGGACTAGTCTTTCCGGGGCTGGATGTACCACGACTCCCGATAGACTCAGTGTCATGACTCGGTAAAAGATCGGCAGGTGGAGCCATTTGATCTGACCCCGGTGCTGGTTGTGATTCATCTGGCTCAAAGTCTTCAGACACACTTTGCCAGTCGTCCGTTCTGGCCGCGAACAGTGGTGATCCTTCGTCTTCTACCTCATTTTGTAATGCCGTCACTGGTGAGGGTTTCGAGTCCGGTCGAATCGATTGGACTTTGACTCCATCTTCCTCACGTTGCACTGTGACAAAAAAACAAAATATCAAGAGGATTCAACTTAGTACCACCATAAATCATCAGTTTAACAGATAGAAGAAGCATCAAATATTATTTTTAATTGCATTTGTTCAACATACAGAAGGACCCGCTCGTAGAGGGTAAATGTCTAGTTAGAAGGGTATGTTGAGCATAGATCGACTAATTACAACGATGCATACATATCACCTGACCAGCTTAGTGTGGAATCTATTATTTACCACGTTCTACACGTTTTCACCCATAAATCTATTTATTCACCTCTCCTATAATTGTCATTGTTTTGATCCGTGCGTTGTATTGATCATCAGACATGCATTTTTGGTTCGCCCCGATTGAGCCCAGTTCTTTGCTCGCACACTAAGCTCGTTTAGCTCTCCCTTCCCCCTGGTTCTCGTGACCGTTGTTCCTGACCCGGATTGTGGTCTGACTCACTCTGCCTTATGATTATCATATGAAGTTGCTTAATCATATTCGGGTTGGTTCTCCGTCTCTCCCATGAGTCACACTGTCCCATATGCCCTTTCACGTTATTTCATTTATCGCCTGTTCACTTGACGGAATGGTAAACTGTCAATTGTTTGCACCTTGAATATCGATTGGCATTGTTCATTTTGCCGATTCAGGCATATCGCCCGAAGAACACCATGATTTGAGCTGTGTTTTTTATATCATTATAAAGTTTTATATTTACAGCACCGTGTTATTATTCATTATTGTTTGGAGTCGAATAAATATCTAGGTTGTGCGTTACTCAACATTGGCCTAGGATAGTCGTGGTGACGCACAGACGCCTTCCATGCAGTGCGTGTGCGGTTGAAGTTTCACACGGGATGGTGGATATGCTGAGCTGAGCTGATGAGCTCGATCAGACAGAAACTAGAGTCTAGTGCTTTCGCGAATGTGTATGGTTGACTGTAGGAACTGAGGAATGTGTGTGAAGGTGAACCCTGAAGGATGGTCAGTTCTAAACAATCACTGGAACACTTGAACTGATCTTCTTGTCGTGGAAAATTTGTTCCATTCGCCAAAGGTGATTTCAAGGAATTCCAATTCCTCTCGATCTTGCTCTAACCATCCCAAATAGTCTGATCTTTCAAATGCATGTGAAAATGAAGGTACCCAAGTTCCGTTTTACATCACACAATTACCGCTCAATTCATTTGGCTACCGTCCCTTTCGAAGTAAATAAACACTAACTTTGTGCATAACTCGTAAACGAAGGGTCAATCGATTGGTTGTTACTATCATTAATTTTATCTATCTTTCAATCGACAATCTACCTTCGTAGTCTTGCATTTCGGGACAATTACGAAAAATCGCTTCTAACTGTACCAGAAATCTCGAAGGTTCTCAAGTATGTCAGGCACTAATCGATCCAAACAGTTCTCGTCTGGGTTAGTTGTGACACAGATTTTCTGAATTTGTAATGCTCCAAAAATATTGATACCAACTTCGTTACAGGTTATGACACTGTCTCAGGCTCTCTGTATCCATGTGTTGGCATCCTTGGAGATTCTGCGCTATCACTCTATCGGTCTTCTTTTTATCAGTGATCTGTGTCCCACAATTCATAAACCGAGTTCCATTTCTGCCTAGAACACCAACTTATATTCTTCTTTGTCCAACAGATCCATTACCTCAAACAGTGATCGCAACGGTTGTGCACTTGCCGTCTCTCTTCACACCAATATTGATCGAGTCTCCTCAGAACTACCAAGACTACTTGTAAAATTCAATCTTTAGCTATCAATTCACACAAACACATACACACAACCCGGTCTCTATTGGCTGATAGTTAACTCTTACTCCCTCTCGATTAGTTTCTTTCAGTCCTTTCTATTTGGATTCGCCTAGATTTCCCTCGAATGCTGTACGAACTACGACCTGAGTTCGCGTCAAACGATTTCCGAAGGTACTTACTCATGTACTGTTTTACATGAACCATAAAACAACAGAAGCTTCCATACGGACTATTGAACTTGCAATCAATCACTTGGCACTTTGCTTCAGCATCATTATCATACCATTGCTACTTCTAGTTCCGGTTCTACAGGCATGTCTCGCATCTGATCAAATTCACGTTGTTCAATCCATCTTTCTCCACCAGAGCAGATGACTAAAGAACCACTTTTGTGTTCTCCCGACTGACCAACGATCTGCGATGCATCAGATGTGAAATCAATGAATGTGGAATATTTTCCCGTCCAGTGACAACCACAGACTGTTTTTCAGTTACGCGGGTTATTCTCTATTGCCAATCAAAATTATTATAAAAATTGTACGAAATAAATTACTGTATCAGGACGATATAAACATCTCGGTTGTGGGTCATATGATACTGATCGATACAGGTGGATGGGAATAGATGCACACCGTAAAATTACTTTTATATAAAATTGGGTACATTTAAGGTACCCTGGGTAATCAAATAAATTACACACACAAAAATAATAGTTGAACTCGGCACGAGGTTGGGATAAGAAACGGTTTCCGAAAATGAGTAAGTAGATTTATTGAGAAAAAAAATTAGGATGTGACAACCAAGCCGTGATCTATCTGCTGGTCAATTACAACATAACACATAACTCAGAGAAATAACATAGGGATACAGTCAAACCAGGGTTTTAGTACGTGTAAAAGGGGAGTTGAATGTGGATGGATAAACAATGGTCGCGTAATCGGTGATACGTTCCTTGTAATAGTGAGAATTCTTTCGATTGGAAATGTTACGTGGGGACACCTAGGACACATGGTCACGGGAGAGTAAGAGTTGTGACCATTTCTTTCTGTGGGGAATTGTTTATTCTTATCACGATCACCTTTGCTGCAGATAGAAATTGGGCAGTAAAATCCTTAGGTTTTTGGAAATCTGTTACTTATTTGTGTCTATCTTTCAGAACATAACATACAGAAATTCAGAAGTAAAACAAAAGCAACGATATCCATGTAAAACGGAAGAAATCGGTTAACTGGTGTCATTCATGGTGAGCCTTGATGACGGACGGAGTCCGAAACACGCACGCTCCGGACACACGAAATGTCGTCTCGGGTGAAACAATCCGCGTTGATAACATCTGTAATATAGTCCAGCTTGAGACAACAACTTTAACGGACGATTCCTTTAAAATGCTAGCTCTTAATAAACACCCATCTGAACCGTAAATTTCTAAGGCATTATAAAAATCCGATCACAGAGTGTGATAAAATCCAACCAGAAACGATCTGGTGGTGGTGAGAAACAGCAGATCATAAAAGTGAACTGTACGTGGTGAAACTGTCTCTTTTTGATGGCATGTGATCACCTGAGATTGTAATTAGATAATTTACTGTTCATTACTTCCCTTTAAATCGAAGAAATGCGTATCTCTGAGTGTTGATTTTGGTCTCTATCACAGACACATTTAGCGTCTGTGATCACTCGCTAGTCCCCTTCCAAAAGTATTAGCCTAACCATGGATCGAACAAAACAAACTGACCTGCTAGCGATCCCCTCCGATTATAGTATTCCCATGGCTTGAACCTGTTCTCACTTGTCGCATCCAAATCGAACAGAGTTGACAGAATCATGAAAAAAGATGATAACTACTTGTTAGTAGTAAGTATATAAAAGTGAAAGAACAGCAAACCATCAACATTTGAGCAACACATCGGTGACATTACTCATGGAATATTGTCATCCATTGGTTGTACAGAACCGTTGATTTTTCATACACACACATGTTCAAGGGACACATAGTCAATTCCCCCTCTGAAACTTTCTGCGATCGGATTGTATGTTTTTGTTTTCTTTATTCGGTCAACTGTGTGCTGCAGGAGTACGATCAGTGCCACCACGCGACACAGAGACTTGACCATCACAAAAAGGAAATCCGATGCGTTAGTTGGACATATCACCAGAAAGGTTAACACAGACCGGGTTATGTTTGACGGAGTAGGCAGTAGATGGGGGAAGTCAAAAGTTAAGACCTGGAACGAGGGCATGAAATTTTCGCCCAGGAGACTTGCTCATCTGGGTCGCATAAGGCTTCTTGGATAGTCACCTCGGGGTTATCGTAATCCAGGATTGCGGTTGTTCATCTATTCATGGTTCTTGTAATTTTGGATTTCATGAAATATCTATTTTCACTGTGACACTAATTTGAGCATTCTAATCATCCGTTTACAAATTTATTGACATGGTCCGCCGAGAGACTAGACTTCTTTTTCTTCAGTTCGGAATGTTTATAATGCTTTTATTGTCCAGCTGGCCCGTGATGGTACAGCTCATGTGCACCGTAGAATTTCACTGACTATACTAAAGACTCGAGGCCCTAGATAAGGTATCACTTCTCCATCCCCCTATCCAGGGTGCCTACCAGGACCTATATGACCGAGTCTCCTGGTCATGGTTTCCATATCATCATGCCAGGTCTTAGTTTCAACAGTCTCGACTCTTTTCATCGATTGCAGGCCTTAGCAAGCATTACGCGCGGTGGAAATCGCTATGATGACATAAATAACACATGTTCCAACCACTTGCCCCAGTGGGAAGCCGCGCTCACCTAAAATCTCTGCGTCCAACCTCACAACTGTTTGTCCAGTTACCCCACTCGACTCTAGCAATGTCGTTTAGTCGGTGTTC